AGAAGAAGAAGAAGAAGAAGAAGAAGAAGAAGAAGAAGAAGAAGAAGAAGAAGAAGAAGAAGAAGAAGAAGAAGAAGAAGAAGAAGAAGAAGAAGAAGAAGAAGAAGAATCATCTCCTTGAATGATTCCCTTTTAAATCCAGGTGTCCTGGCCCCAGTCCAGCTCCGTAACAACCCGTTCATCATGTTAATCCCGCCGACATATTGATGGCGTGCTGTCTTGCCTTGGCTTCACAGAAGGTTGAGAACCTTCTGTAACGTTGCTTCTTGCACTGACGTTTCACCCTGCGCTTAAACCTCTTGTCAAAAAAGGTTGTGCACCTTCGTCGTAACAGCGGCCATTGATCTCTCTCTGAAGTGACTGGTTCCTTCGGTGCCCGTTGGCGGCTTGGAGAGCTACATGCCAGGCACCTGGGCGTTGGCCGTGCTCCGTTGGTGCAAAACACCGCATCTCCTTGGCCCCGTGGCATTTGAAAGCGATGGGGCAGCTTAAGCAAGAGGGGCCTCCCTTAAACAACCTGGATTCTCAATGATCAATTAGCAGGCAGAGTTGGGTGTAGATTTTAACCCAGCGCCTTCCAGACACCAGAATGCGTCATGGAGAGATGTGATCCGTGCTTGCTTACCACAGGCCCGGCGTGGTCAGTCCACCAGGGGTGGGATGCCACCGGTTCTGCCTGGCTCTATAGAACCGGTAGCTCTGAAGAGCAGCAGACCCAGAACCGGTTTGCGCAGCACAGCTGAGGTTGAAAAAGCAGGGGGAAAAGTGGCTTTTCAAATGCTGCGCACCCGTGCACAGCTGATTGTGTGCATTGCACGCGCAAAACGTAATTAACGAACCGGTAGTAACACCGGTTGAACCCCAGCCCTGCAGTCCACGGTCTAAAACCTCCGTGGCTTGCCAGAGAGGCGTCACTCCTGGGCCCCATCCCCCTAGCCTGCTTTTAGGGTTAACCGTTAATCCAGACCCCCCTCGGCTAATTCCCCGCTTTCCTTTCTATCTTTCAGGCGAATATGTAATTACGGTTCGTGAAGTGACATCACCTCCGTTTCTAGGCCAACTTCTCCCACCTGTTTTCAAGCTTTTAAGAGTCCTGCCAAGGAAAGAGATAGTTACGGGTTCCAGTAAAGAAATCCAGAAAGATCTTGGCAGTTAAAGGGAGGGGAAATTGATGGGCCGCAACCAAGCTCTTTCCCCCCCCCTCCCCTCCCAGAACTCTGGTGAGATATAGATATATATGCCCTTTGCTGACCTGGGAATTATTCATCTAATTTCACCTCCCCATAACGTCTCTCTTCATCCTCTCAAAGAGGATCTACACAGCCTGGGAACCAAACAGCAAAGAAACGAAAGGCAAGCATCTGCTTTTGTCATTTCTTCCAGCCCACCTCAATCCCAATGAACTCTAGATAAAAATGTAATTATTCCCTTGACGGAGGCCAAGCTTTCGATCCTGCTGGCATCGAGGCACCCTCTCTCTCTCTTTTCTCTCTCTCTCTCTCTCTCTAAATCAAAATGGACTTTGCGCCTTCAACAACAACAGCAGCTAAAAAAATAAAAAATAAAATAAAAACCCCACCGATGGAAGCGAGGGAGTTTGTGCAATAGTTTCGCCGAGAAAGCTGATGAATCAGCCGGGGTCATCTAATGACCGAAAACGCACATTGCAAAATTATATTTATAATTGCAGAGCTCGTTGGCCGGATGGTCCGTTTACGATCGGGCCACTTGGCTTGGCTTTCGTCGAAAGCGTCAACGCTTCTCCATCCAGTACATTAAGAAATAAAAGAGAACGCATTTAAAAACATTCACCCACCGCAAGCAGGAAAACGGCCTGCCGCCTTTGAAAAGCATCTCCGTTGATTATTTGCAAATAAAAGCTTGAGTGGCACGTCAGGCCAGCAACGCTGGAAGGGGGAAAGGAGGAGGAAAGGGGAGGAAAGACAATTCTGGCTGGTGGCAAACTGGGATTGTAGCCTGATCCACCCTGTGGGTTGAGCATCTTAAACTGCCCCAGTGGCAAAGATTCCCCCTGAGGTGGGCTTACTTTCCCCCACAATGCCTTTCAGCCGTCGCTGACTAGGAGGATTCTGGGAAATCTCTTCGAAGGGTAGCGTTGTCCTGGAAGCCCTGCCTCCTTCATGAGTCAGATACCCAGTTTTTCTCACCCTTTCTTTCCTTTCTTCCTTCTCTCTCTCTTGAAGTCTGTTTCCTTCCTTCTTTCCTTCC